GCGAGGGCTGTGGAGTATTAGCTCCCTTCCCTTCTGCCAGTCCTGGGGATTTTGTGGATTTGGGCATGGAGTGTGTTACTTCAGCATTGTTCTTCTAGAATTTGCAATTCTGATGCAAGTGGGAATTGGAGGGGTTCTTTGGTCTTGTTAAGGGGTTGGCTTTCAATAGCTTCTTTGGGAGAAGGTCTTCAGTGGATTATGTGTTTCTTGAAGTACCGCATAGAAACTTGGTCAGCGTGAAGGCAGAGACTTGGGAATTCATCTTGCACCTAAGAAATGGAAGTTTTGTGACCTTTTTTCTCCAGGGAAAAATCCAGCCATCAACACCGTGCATGTCGAGTTGAGACCAGCGTTACAGGGAACAAGGTTGCGTGGGAGCCTGCCAGGACGTGTAGAAAAACTCATGAAACCGGTGTGTGCTTTGAGTGGAGAGGCTTGGGCTGTATGAACAAGAGGTGTATGAAGGGGATGAGGAAACAGAGATTATTTCTGGTGCTGCTGCACTTAAGGATTCTGCATGAGACAGTAGTTACTGTTTCTGGGCATGTGAAAAGGGTACAAACCCCACCTTGTAGTCAGGAGGGTGAATGCACTGTTTTGCTAAGAATTCCCCAGGAGTGCTTCACTGCATGCTTGGGGTTTGTCAGGTGATGAGAGCGGTGAAAGTGTTTTGTTTTGAAAGGTAATCGCCAAAGAATTAAATTCTCCATTAACATCAGGTTTGTAAGAAATAAAGATAATTATCTTTTAGAATAGAATAGAATTTTTCAGTTGGCAGGGACCTCCAACAATCATCTAGTCCAACTGCCTGGCCACCTCAAGACTGACCGAAAGTTGAAGTGTGGCACTAAGGGCATTGTCCAAGTGCCTCTTGAGCACTGCCAGGCCTGGGGCATCGACCACCTCTCTACGAAGCCTGTTCCAGTGTTTGACCACCTTCTCTGTAAATAAATGCTTCCTGTGTCAAGTCTTTTGACTTTCCAATCTTATCAATATCCTGTTGTTTAAACACAAAACAACAAAAGTCTTAAAAAAAAAAAAAAAGACCAGAATTTGACTGCTTGACTGAATATGTGGATATGACGTAATCCTTTCCAGTAAAGAGAAGGTGGTTTGGGATGGGGTTGTCCTGCAGAACAAGACCAGCAGGACCAAGGGCTTGTTATTAACGACAGGAAAAACTGGCCCCAGGATAGAGTTCAACTTGGGCTGTCATGCTGTTGACACTTCTCTGCAATGTCAACCTGAAAAATTTCTGAGCTGAATACATCTTGTTTGCCCTCCATTCCTCACAGGTTTTGTCTAAGTTAGTGTTGGAAATAACCAGTACAAAGCACTTAACATCTGAAGGCTTATGTGATAGTGAATGTTCTTTTGGTGTGATGCAGTGGTACATGGAAACTCTCAAAATTAGAATGAGTGGAAGAGCAGGTGGGCTCTGATCAGGAAAACCGTAAATTGTGAGCCCCTTGGTGTGTGTTGCTTTGTGGTTTGCTTTGGTTTTCATTTACTGGTCTAATATCAACCGTTAAACCTTTTAGGCGATCTTCCTCTCTCTCTCTTCCTCCCCCCCTCCTCCTTTAGAAGTGAATAAAAGAGCTTTGTACAGTTCTTGAAACTGAGCCTGAAACAGCTCTGAACAAAATATAGTGTTCCTTTCAAAATCTTGGAAATAATTACATCATAGGCAAATTGGGCCAGAAACCGTTAATAGTAGTCTTTGTGGAATGAAATCCCATGGGAGGACCTATTTCAGCGAACTAGCATTGTTTACAAATAAATACAGTGACAGATAATGTCCCCCATTCTGAGGGACAGCTGAAACATTGTGCCCTCTGATGGACTTCACAGCATAACCGTCTTGCTTTTGATAACAAGCTGAAAACGCGCCTTGGTGCTCCTGCGGTCAGCCTCGCGCCCGTGATCTCAGGCAGCGAAGGCTGTCTTTGGCCCTGGAAAAATATCTGTAGGTGAGAAAGAGAAAATGAAAGCCATAAGCTCCTAGTCTGTGAGCACTGCTGGCGGGACAGGGAGCTGTGTCCAGATGTCCCTGTTGGGCTTTGTGAGTCCCTGGTGCTTCCCTGGGCAGGAGTACCTGGGCACCGCGCACCTTCCCTTCGCCAGGATAACACCCACGGCACGTGTAGGTCTCTCTGTTACCTTACAGTAGTTTTCATCAATGGGTCTTTTCTTTTTTTTTCTCGTTACTGGAAAACCTTCTGCATTTCAGGATGGAAATGACAAAGGTTAGCAGTGTTAACTGTTTGACCTAGATCTACAAAAGCATCTAGTTCTCTAGGTGAGTAGGCTTGTCTGTACTTGGCAGTCAGATCAGCGTAAGCCCTAGCTTGGGCACAATTTTAGCTATTCCTTGGTGATCTAAAGCACGTTCTCACCTACATCTGAGCGTCCATGGGAGGGAGGGTGGGCCATGCTCCTCCACTGCCGGAGCAGGTCTCCCAGTAGATCCCAGCCTGAGAGCTGGGCTGGGCGGCAGAGCCCTCTTGTGGGGACCGGGCACATGCCGGGGACCGCTGTGTCCTGGGAAGGACAAAGACATCTTTCTGTCTGGCAGCTGCCACCGATACATGCCTTCATTAGTGTGATCTCTTCCACACTTCCAGGCCTGAAAGCAAAGCTACAGGGAGCAACACCTGGTGGGTGGCTGCCTGTGGTTCATGGAGTCACAGAATGGTTTGGTTGGAAGGGACCCCAAAGATCATCCAGTTCCAACCCCTGCCATGGGCAGGGACACCTCCCTCCAGCTCAGCTTGCTCAAAGCCTCATCCAGCCTGGCCTTGGACCCCTCCAGTTCAGTGTTACCTGCCCAGTGTACAGGTGGAGGGGATCCAAGGAGCAGGGAGGGTCTAGCAGTTCACGCAGGGTTGGAGCCTACAAGCAGACATCCTCTTTGGCTGGTGAACACAATATTGATCTACCAGCGCAGCAGCAGTTTGAGCTCTCCCTAATTTGCTGCAGGCAAAATATGCCAGAATAGCTCAGATCACTAATTTAACACAAACCAGTTGATGAAGTCAGCTGGGGAGGGTGCTCATGCACAGTGCTCCCCAGTGGAGGTGAGCAGCTGGGGTGGTCAGGGTTTGTGAATCAAGATCTGCAGATCCCTGCTTCAGGCTAGAGTTTTCAGCTGTGTGACAGGTCCCTCGGATCCCTTGGGGATCCAGATGTTCAGGAACCCCACTTTGACAACCCAGGGACCTGTGCAAAACAGAGGTGTGATGGTATATTTCATTTATTGTTCTTGTCGCTGATGCTTTGAATCTCAGGTCTGGCATTTTGGCATCCCATTTAGATTAAATAAAGAATGTAAGTCAAGTAATGAAAAAAAAAAAAAGTGATAGTTTTATTTGTAGTAATTTGAAAATGGTAACAAAGGCTAAAATGGCCAGGTCATGAAAAACAGTCTAGGGTGAATATCTCTAAATGTTTCACTTGGTTGTTTAGTTTTTACATGGAAGGTATTGTCAGTTAAGGCAATGTATCAGCTGGAAATCCTGGTAAAATTCCAGCTAAATAAAAGCAATTGTTGAAAACATTAACCTTAGTTCTTAAAAAATAAAAAAAATTTTTTGTTTTATTTTACTTTTTTAAAATTAACCCCACAACAACAAACAACCCCAAAACCCCTCAACCATGGCAGCTTTACTGGACCAAAGTGAGGGTAGGAATGCTGTCACCTGTTGACCTCCAGGACCTCTTTGTGCAAGTGACAGTCACCATGTTTGGCTGATACTTCTGAAAAAAACCCTGCGACTTCCACAGCTGAAAAAACATAAGCTGCTTCATTTTACATTTAAGAGAGTAGCTGATGCCTGCAATAACCTGTGTTATCTGTGAATCAGCACGAGGACAGATCCGCACCGCATGCCACATGCCTTCCATAAAAGGAGCCACGTTGATTTTAAAGGGGTTGGAAGACAAGGTGCCTGGAGAGTTCTAACCTTTAAAAATATGCAGCATAGCCCACATCACATCTGATCTGTCTGAAATCATACTCTATTTTCAGGTCTTAAAGCAGTTCATTTTACCAAATGTAGCTTGTTTGTTAAACCAGCTGCTTAATCCAGACTTGAATTTTAATATTGAAGACACACTAGAAAGATTAGGAGTTTGAAAAGTCTTGCCTGACCTGTGTTTTCCCAACTTCTGAAAGTTTTTTAACAATTGAGCAACCTGGGATAGTGGGAGGTGTCCCTGCCCATGGCAGGGGGGTGGAACTGGATGAGCTTTGGGGTCCCTTCCAACCCAAACCGTTCTGTGATTCTGTTAATTTCTGGCTATTTTCTCCTTTAGATCAGAACCCCTGTTGTTAGCGGTCAGCAAAAGGCTGTACACGTCCACTCTGCGGGACTTTGTGGTGCTGTTACTCAAAGCTGTGCCACAGACATGCTAACAGACCTGTGTGGCAGCAGGACAGAAAAAAGGCGAATTGTTTGCAGGATACGATCATTTTCCTGCTTAGGTTTTGATTGATTTTAAAGCTAATGTATTGCTCATTTTTATGTGCAATAAAGTTTTTAATTGGTACTTCTGAATGAATTTCCTTTGGGCACGCCACACTCCCACTACTAAACCCTCTCCAAATACAGAGCAGGGAGGGAACAGAGAGCTTAATGCTTGCTATCCGTATCTCCCCACTGTGCGCCTTGTTTCTTACATCATAAAAATGGTTCACTACGATACCGGGCAGTTTCAGTAAATCATTTAAATTTTGCTTGGGAAGTCTGGTTTTAGAGGCAAATTTGGATTGTTGTTTACTACAGGAAAAAAAGTTGTAAATAAAAATTTAAAAAGCCTTATAACAGGGATTAAAAAAAGCTTTACTTAATGGTAATACAGTGATTTTTAGACAGGTTTCCTTATTCCACCAGAAGGCTTCTCTTGCCCTCTTTCCTCCCCGGGACACCAGCCTTGGCATCCCCACCTGACGGGCGTGCTTTGTGTTCTGCCTTTGCAGGTGGCTGTGAGGGCTGCTGAAGATGTCCGATAGCCTGGATGTTGAAGAGAGACCTCCAGCCCCGCCGTTGAGAATGAACAGCAACAATCGCGATTCTTCAGCACTAAACCACAGTTCAAAACCGCTCCCCATGGCCCCTGAGGAGAAGAACAAGAAAGCCCGGCTTCGCTCCATCTTCCCAGGAGGAGGGGATAAAAGTAAAGTATCAGCAGTGCGAAGGGGTGCTCCATCTCTGTGTGCTGCCTGTTGGGTGGTGGTTGCCGCGTGTGCTTTCTGCCGCTGTTTTCTTTCTGTTTCAGTTGCAGAACATGGTAAAGTCCTTGCAAAGCCTTCTGATCCCATTACTCTAGTAACATGTTTCCAAGGAGGAGGAGGTGTTCAGTCAGTTACTTTCTTTGAAAAGCCAGTAGAGCCTGCACACTTTGTGCGACTTGCTTTTTAAAAATAACTTTAGAGTTAAGCTGGGGAGTCCTTTCCTTTGGATTTTGCTTTGCACTTGCAGTAAAAACAAGAGATGAGGTTGTATACTTTTGAAAATACATTTGCAGAAGTGAGAGGCAATGTGCCTGACACTTCTGGGTTGTTTTTTTAATGCACTTACATTCCAGGAACAGGAGCAAGGCTCTTCTTGCTTGTTGTGTTTGCGTGAGAGTGGACACAGAGTGGCTTGGTTTAAACCTGCCAGGTGTGGGTGCAGCCAGAGAGTCCTTTAACCATGCAGGAAACAGCATTTCAGTTGCATTCTTTGAAATGTGTTTGCAGAAAGGAGTGTGTTTTGAGTTAGTGTATTTACAGAATTAAGGGATCTTCTTGTTTTTTGTAATGCCATGGGAACTGATGGGCTGTGCCCCCAAGTGCTGAGGGAGCTGCCTGCTGTCTCTCCTGGCTTGTTTAATGCCTGGAAGGACGTGGGTCACTCCTTCCCCTGACTGCCAGCAGGATGGGTTTATCC